TTGTGGTCTTTCTTGCGCGTGCGCGCGCCCCCCACACAGATGTGGGGGTCTGTGCCGGAGGGAGGGAAAGGCAAAGGTCGACGCAAAGAGCCGACAGACGGAAAAGGGAAGGCATAAGGGAAGGCAAAGCCAAAGGCAACAAAAACGCAAAAAAAAATGCACAAAAATGCAAAATCCTGGCCTCTGGGCCTACGATGCCCAGAACTCTGGAAAATGCTTTTTTTTGCCTCTGGTTTTGCCTTTCCTTTTGCCTTGTCTTTCGCCTACGCGTTCCTTCCCTGGTCCCGCTTCGCCTCCCCCTGCCCCCCCCTCCCCCGTGCAGTCTCCCGCCCAGCACGCCCGAAGCCAGCCACAAGCTCCGCCCATCCATTAGCTGGCTTTGGGCCACCCCCACGTCTCCAAAGCTAGATAACGACATCTCCGAGATTGGCGAGCTGGGCCAAGTAAAGGCATGGAGGCAAGGAGCATCACGGGCGTCAACGGAAACTGAACCGAGCAATGCGCACCCAGAAGAACATTAAAAAACACATCCGCAAGAGACGAACAAAATAAGGACAGCAGGACAGCAAAAAACACAAAATCAAAATGCCAAAAACAAGCAACAAAACCCCAATGCAAAAAACACAAAACAATAATGCAAAAAAACGCAACCCAAAACCAAAAGCAAAAAAAACGCAAAACCAGAATGTAAATTAAACGCAAACCACAATGCAAAATAATTGTCTCCGGGATTTCCAATCCCTGGCCGGGCAGAAATCTTATAATGCCGGCATCGGCATTCATCTACATCATCGGCACAAGACCGCCAAACGATTCATTCGCCTTCACGCCCGGGATCAATACCCAACACCAGGTTCAAATTTTGACCTACCCTCCCAAAGTCCTGGAATCCCTAGTGCTGGGGCCTCTTCGTCCGAGTCACGCTCCTCCACGGCGGCGGCAGCAGGGCGGCGGCGCCGGGAGGTGGGCTGGGGTGCCTGATGCAAACAAGCTAATTATCTAGAGTCTAAGCCGACCTCGGGCTTAACAGATTGCCTGGGTCCGTGGCCTGTGGTGCAGGACGTCCTAGGGCATGCACGTTCTCTCTATTTCTGTTCGGCGCAGACACTTCGAAAAAATGAGAAACCAAGTACTATACGACTTCACAACTGCCATAACCAGAACTTACAGCCTTTGACCCTCTACATTTCCAGACGAAAAATCCAAAATGACAGCCCATGTAAGCCTTTCCAATGCAAGGCACTGAATCGCGACCCCTTTTTCAAATTATCAACCTGCCTGGTGCAGCGCCGCCCCACCGCGCCAGTCACCCGAGAAGCTCGGGGTGGTCGGTCCCTGACGAAGCACACACACACACACACACACACGCACACCCATGCAGACCGGCTCGAAAGCCCCGCTGCCCGTGCATCATACGAGTATAAGACCATGTAACAGTTCAACTTGCTGTTTCGTTTCGACTCTCATGCTCGGCACTGAAGGCAATGCAGTGCAGCAAAAAATGGTCCGGTCTGAATTGACGTCAGCACGAAAGACAGGTCACCCTTCAGAGTCACAGCAGTTGTCGAAACACAGCAATCCCTTTTTCCATATCTCACTGCCGGAAGACCGACCAGCAAAGAATGCATACAATGCCCACTTATGAGAGCGCTTGGACCTCACTGCGTCTCTGTGTGGAAATTGCCGAGGGGGACAGGAGCCTCTGTTCGACAGGTGAAGCCGTCGAGGGGCAGCTCACCAGTCACCCAATACTGCTCCAAGCGGTTCAAGCAGGGCTGCATGCCGCTGTTCGGATAGCTGCCCTCAGGCAGGAGGCAATGCCCAACACCCTGCCAGGTCATCATCACAGCATTCGGCAGCGATTCACGCATGTGGTTGCTCCAGGTGTAGCTGCAAGCTGAGTCGTACAAGTTCCCCACCACGAGTGCCCTCACGCCGGCGCGGAAGCCCGTCTGCACTGGCACGGGTTCCGCCTCCCAAGAGAAGAAAGCGCTGAAGATCCCCACGAAGGAACTGGTAGCCATCTCCTCCCATTCAGCCCGGAACGTGCGATACACACCCATGGCCTGGGCAACCGTAAAGCGACCGAACAGGTCTTGTCCGAGGACTGCTCCCTCGTTGACGTAGCCATCAACACTTTTCGTCCCGGCCTGAGCGTCGTAGCTGGAGAGGCCAACAGACTGTTGGCCGATGCAGGCGCCGTAGATCCTCCACGTCTTCAAGCCACTCCAATCGAAGGGGTATCCCGCGGGCAGGCTGCAGTACCGGTCCAAAATCTTGGCGACCTGATCCACCCGAGCTTCTTGTCCACGCATGCCCGCAAGGTTCGCGAGTGTCAGCACAGGCTCCGCCCAGCCCGTAGGCACATAACCTGCCTGGTTCATTTGATCCTGGAGGTAACCCTGGAGCAGGCCGATTGTCAAAGGGAAGCTCTCGTGGCCGCCCAGTGGGCTCGGACGGTTAGTGGGGGCCGCGAGTCGCCTGGCCCTCATCTCGCCGAGTAGACGCTTCCATGCCTTTGTCAGTGACATCTCGTCGCTGAAGTAATCGCAGGGATGAGTCGAGGTCCACTTCACACACAGCCGCTCCAAATGCCCGAAAGCCTGCGTTAACGCCATTCCCTGCCCTTTCGCGAAGTCCAGGGTGTAGGGCGCTGGTGGCATGTTGCCGTTGATTACCATCTTGCCAACTCGCTCGGGGAACATGTCTGCATACACAGCTGCCACCGCTGTGCCGTAGGAAATAGCATAGAGGTTCAGCTTTGGCGCGCAGATGCGGCTTCGGAGGAAGTCGATGTCATGGGCCAGCATGCGCGTCCCCGACCACTCGAGGAAGTTGTACTTCTTCCCTCTCGGTCCAGTCAGGATCCACCGGCTGTCTGCCGCACATCGGCGGGAGCGGAGGGCCATGCCTTCGAAAAGGACCTCAACCTGCGAATCGTTTTGGGGGTCCAAATTCGCAAATGATTGGCCAACCAAAGGCGTGCCATCTGGCAACGCACACTGGCAGTCGGTGAAGTCCGAGATCTCGTAATGCAACTTGCCGTTGGCCGGCAGCTTCATGTGAAGCGGATCGCACTCGAAGTTGGGAGTGGCGGTGACTCCGATGCCACGCTGTGAAATCGACATAGCATAGTAGCCAGGGATGTTGTCTCCCAACAGAACACAGGTCGCATCACTCCCGGGCCCCCCACAATGCTGCAAAACAGGCTCGGCACCGTCCGCACCCTCCGGGGACACCCTCAGCATCACGAGAAGATCCAAGAAGGGCGTGTCATCTTTGTCTTCGGCATGAGGGCTCAAGGGCACCGTCAAGTTCCCTGTGTAAATAGTGTCGTTCCCCAACTTCTGGGACCCTGTCCATTTCAGACCTTCCATAGGATGAAGGAGGTCACAGCCTTCGGCCTTGAAGCGGCCCAAAGCATCTTCTGCACGTCTCTGCTCAGTCACCAGGATCTGGAGAAACAACAGCAGGAGGGAGAATTTGCAATTCGCAATGTATGCCATGCAGCCAGTATGCACGTGGATTTTGTAAACAACCTGGGCTTGCCTACAGGTCACCTCGAGCTTGAGCCGCCGTACCCAAGTTTCAGCGATGAATTATCACGGTCCTGCCAGCCATCCAAGGAATCTTACTGGAGGCTGCAGAGACATGTCCGTATGGTGCGAACGCCTGCGTTATGAGTGCATGTAGACTGCGTGTGCAAACAAACCAGAAGCAACCTACAGGCACCTTCCGGGGCTTGCTGACATCGATGCTGAAGTCCCAAGCCATGGCGAGAGACAAATGACAAAGTATAGAAGTCCTTTGATATTCCGGTTTTGGGCTGCATTGTGGTTCTTTACGCACATGTGGCTGACCGAGGTTTGGAAGGTCGTGCGCTGGGAAGTTTCGGGAGTAGCAGGCGAGTGCACGACTTTGGTCATTGGTGGAGCCGATCTCGCTTGTATGGGTTCCTTGCTTTTGTTTCTCGGCAGGGTGGCTAGCTTTCGACATGCTTATCCTAAGTACTGCTTACCTGCGGTTCAAGGCAGCGCACGCGCGGACGGCCCACAAACCGCACAATCTTGATTGTGACATCATTGTCCGAAGTTCGCTTTCAAGTTCAACCACATAGTCATGATCAATGTTAACATCGCCTTCATTACTGTTGATGGTGCGGCTACTGCCACAGCGACTACTATCACAGCAAAGATCTGACCGCGTGCTCCTGCTGGTGCTGCCGCTGGAAAACCCCTATTGTTGCTAGCCTTGCAGCACTGTTGCAGACATATATATATATATGTATAT